CCACGAAAGCTTATGCTCTAATAAATTTGTTAGTCTCTAAGGTGCCACAAATACTCCTGTTCATTTCTCACTTGGTTAGTGTGCAGGAACTTTTTTTTTCCCTTTCACCAGCCATGGAGCTTCTAACGCAATCTTTGCCCAAGGAACAGTTTTCCCCATCTGCCTTGGAGATGGAGATCCCAGACTTGCCTCTGTAGCACACATCTCACCCCGGCAAGGTCACATGTTCACCTCACTGCTGGCCCAGACACACAAGAATCTGGCTTTCCCCTTCCCCAGGGAAACATTTGTAACAGCAATGGGACATATGGAGACATCAGACATTTAGCTGCAGCTCCTCTGCTCTCTGACAGATTGGTGCCTTTATTTCTTTCCTTCACTGCTTTAACGTGAACCTGGTGCTGGTGGAAGGTGCAGATTCCCAGCCCAGGAGAGTGCTGCCCTGTGTTCAGCCCATGTACAGCACAGCAACAGCATCAATTCCCCACACCCCTCCCACATGCCTGTGCACCTCAAAACTGATCTGGAGAGAGCACGCTAAGGAGCAGGCAGGTAGTTTGTTCCCATGGCCCATTTGATCCTTGGCCTCTCTCCTCAGAGTGCTAAGAGGGACAAACAACAGGACACTCTGGGCCACCGTAGAGGCACAGAATCCCTACGGTGTAAGAATGCCCCGGCCAGGCTCTCTTGCACACCAGATGCCCCACACAAAGGTGCCTCCCATGGGAGGGGTGGGTACTGCAGAGTCATCCCTACCATTTGCACAGAAGGCCTCTTGCTCTGGGGCTATTCCCCAGGGTCCCATGCAGCTGCCTTACAGCCCCTTTGCACTGGTGGGCTGCAGGGCAACTGAGAGTCCAGCCCTGGAAGGCCAGCCCACGGTCCTTCCCCACTCACTCTGTTGCTGTGGTCGCCGATTTTGATGATGGGCTCGTTCTTCCTGAGGTCCCACACAACAGCCTTCCCACTGGGGTGAGCGGAGGACAGGATGTGCTGCACCTGACGATTCCAGGACACTGCGCTGATGTCTTCCTGAGGCTGACGAGGTAAGAGAAGCCACAGATTCATTATACCCGTGCGGGGGAACGCCAGCACTGGGTCCCCATCACTGGCTTGTCTCAGAGTGCACTAAGGGCTCAAACGCATTCCCAGAGGATCTATAAATTCTGTGCCACAATCATTGATAGACTGAGTTGCTGATCAGGTAGGAAACAACAGCAGCACCGATGGCAACCAGCTAGGGCCGGGGAAGACTTTAAGTGGAGAACACTATGGAAAACCCCATTCTGGATGGGAACATCCCCTAGGAAAGGCCATGAAGTTTAGGAAGCATATACTGAATTCCATGCCACAGACTATCAGCCACGTGCGTCATGAACCATTAATGCCAGTGTGAAGCAACGCAATCAGACAGGGCTGAACGGCTCAGCAGCCTGGGATATATGGAGATTAGGCTGCAGACTAGAGACCTCAGTGAGAGAAAAACACATGGGAAGAGGACGTGTTGCAGCATCTCAGGAGTGCACAGAATCAAGGGCTAACTCCCCTCACCCTATCATAATGCAGGAGGCAGGCAAGGAGGGTGTTCTGTCCCAGGAGAGGCTCAGCAGTCTTTTCACTGAGTGAACGACTGCTGATTGTGTTGCTCACAAGGGGGGAGCTCACTTGTAAATCACTGTTGGAAAGGGCTGCTTCCCCTTTAAAGCCAAGGGACACCATCCAGGAGTGACAGACGAACCCCGCCCCCCGGATCACTCATTGGCTGCGCTGTGGTATTACGTTAATTGAAGCCTCTGGTATCTCACAAGATCGCTAGCAGATCCCTTATTTCCCCAGAAAGGCCTGATAAGGGTATTACAGAGAGCCCGACCCATTCAGCTAGAGAATGTAACACACTGGTTGGTTATCTTGTTCAAATCCACCTAGTGCAAAGTCTCCATCCCAGCCCAGCAGCGCACCCGCCAACACTGCACAACCTCCCCCCTGCCACATGGACCACCTCTGCCATCTCCCGGAAAAGAGGCCCGCTCTTAGGTTCTGATCTATTTCCCCAGCAACTGATTGGGTCAGTTCCATGCCTCACCTATCAGATGGATCCCAGGCTGTTACTGGAGTGGATCACTCCCCCCTCCCTCCAGTCTCAAATATCTGTCCAAGGACGCAGCACTTCTAGCGAGCAAGGACCCTGACCACAGAGAAGCCCCTTTACCTGAGATTTAGCCCCTGGCGTCATTGGCACGCTGAAGTTATTCAAGTCCCAGATGTAAATTTCAGAATCATTGGCCCCAGAGGCCAGGAGGTTACACTGCGGGAAAAGCAAAAGCACGGTTCTCTCTCCGCTCAGGGCATCCATGGGAGAAGAGAACGGACTTCCTTAGACTAACCACAATCAAAGAAAACAACAAAACGATAGGAGGTGTGAGCTACGTGGAATACATCACTGGTACAGCCCAGCACAGAACGCACCCCTGCTGGGGCAGTGGGCCCTCACCAGAGAACGTGCCCCCACCAGAGAACGTGCCCACAGTACAAAGGGGAAGGGAGACGGAACCCCAAGTAGACCTCAGGGACTGGGGTGAGGGAGGAGAAGAGCACTGCAATTATTTTATATCTCTGGCACCTGCTACCCCAATGGATCCTAAAATACTGAGCAGATTGGGCAGATTGACCACAAACAGGGATCTCTGAAACGCAGCCATCTGTAAGGCGGGAAATGGCAGCTATTTAATAGTGCACAGTGACAACAGGTTGGGGTTAGAAATGACGCCTGTACTCCACTGGGTCTGCAGGGGGAGTGTTGGGGAGCAGAGAGGAATTATCCAGGTTATGACTAGTCATGGTTGTGGATCACATCTGCTTTTTTTTGCCTAGTAAACTGCATGTTCAGAACACGTGTACAGCCTGACTCCCCCGGCACACCCTGCCAAGGGGCAGAATGCAACAGCTTCCCAGTCCCACTAAACACAGCTCGACGGCCGAGAGCCGAAGGCATTCCAAGCTCTGTCCAGGAAGGTGCAGAGCCTCCACAAGGGCTGCGGCAAGCCCTGAATTGTCATCTAGGGCTCTGTGACCATCAGACGCCCCAGCATTCAGACAACGATGATATTTTTGTCTTACAATAGTGCCTAGATTCTCCAACTATGACCAAAGCCTCACTGTGCTAGGCACTGTAAAACACATACTAAGAGTGTCCCTGCCCCAAAGAACTAACTGTAGTTAGACAAGACAAAGGGAGTATTAGTACTTCATCACAGAGATGACAGGGAATCCATAGCACTGAACCTAGATCTCCTGAGTCCCAACTCAGTGCCTTTACAAGCAGCCCCTTCTTTGCTCCAGTTTACAGGCTGTCCACTCAAGACTTAATCCCTTTGAACATGGGAGCTAGTCAATGTGGAAGCCAGGATGGCTGTACAAGGTCATGATAGAAGACAGCTGTAACATTTCACTGGCTGTGCACCTGGAAAGGATTAAAGTCAAGAGCTCGAACGGGGCCAGTGTGCTTCTCCCGCCGTCCGATCACAGACTCTGTCCCTGACGTCAGAATCTGGGTTGCACTGAACAGCGTTAGCACTCCATTATCCCCTCCACCAGCAATCACCCCGGAGGAATCAGACGACCCGTTTCCAAAGCCGCCCCAGATCAGCTTGTGAAACCTAAGGAGAGAAAAGAAACCTGGCCAGAGTAAAGTCAGGGCAGAGCAACAGGACCTGACACGAGTCAGTTCACGCTAACTTGGCACAGACACCTTTGCTAAGAATCCCAGCACCAGGGGACGTCGCTCCCTGCTCACACCCATCACACATCCCATCTCCCTCCATCTCAAAGGGCAACTCCCTTTCTCAGAAGGCAATGGGTCCTCATCACCCAAGAGCTGTGCCTCCCCCCAACACCTTCGAAGGTGGAGAATTGCAAAGGTTAGCCCAGTACGAGCACAGCTACATTAGGGAGTTTTGCACTGATCTAAACACCCAGTTTAAATACACTGCCCTGCCTGGATGTGGGAATCAGAAGGTGAAATTCTCTGGCCTGTGTTATACAGGAGGTCAGATTAGAGGGTCATAATTGCTCCTTGTGGCCTTGAAATCTGTGAAATGGTGACACACATCCTGGGTGGAAACCAGGGTATGTTGCACCATTGTAAACTCTGCTTTATACCAGTGGAGTGCATCTACACTGGGTGTCTGCACTGCTGTAGCTCTGTGGTGTAAATATCCCTGAACCCGAGGACTCTACCTCCTATTAATAAATTGCCTGGTGAATAGGTTCACCATCAGCCCCTCCATGCCCAGTTTCACTACTCCATCTCATGGCCTTTTAATTTCATATCCTCATCAAGATATTACATGGGATGTGGGCCAATAGTCACCCTTCACCCACCCACCCACCCCTAACTACCTTAAGGCACCTTCAGATTTCCCCACTGATCAATGTGGATGTACCAAGGTCCTCCATCTGAACAGATGAGTTGCCCAACTCTTTCCACCTTGCCAAGCTGTGCAAAGCGCACGCATTGGAGGATGGGTCCTGGGCAGGATTCTTTCCAGGCCCTGACATGTGATCAGTTTAACCCTGAAGATTTGAACTCACTCCCCCCTACCCTCCCTCCATTGGTCACTACTCAGATCCAGCCATTGTACCAACATGTTAGCAGGAAGCGCCAGTACCTGTTGGAAGCAGGAAGGATTCCTCTGCACTTCATGTCCAGGGAAGGGTCCCTGAAGTCAATCTCAAAGATTTCCAGGGTGGCATTTGTACTGAAGGAGGCATCCAGCTGCTGAGCAGATGTCCCTAGGCAAAGGTACATGGAGAAGGGACAGGTGAGGCTTTTGCACAGCAAAATAAGCCAATTCTTCAAACACGGTCAGTATTACCATGGCCCTGTGTGAGCGTTCTGCCTGCATATACAGCTCAGAGAGCCACATGTTAAGACACAGGCTTTAAAAAGAGATCAGATCTTCCTCAAGAAATTCTGATTCTGAGAATTTTAATTAAATGTCCCTTTCCCTTTGAACAACAGAAATAAAGTCCCCGTGCCCTCTCCCTCAATACTTCCACCCTCGCCCCACAAAGGCCCTGTCTTCAGTACTAATGCAGCTATTTCAGTGACCCTGGTTACAATTATGGTTCCAATTTGTATTGTAGACTGAACCTTAATTGTGTTCATAAAGTCTTGGTCAGACCTTCCAGATCTAATTCACATCAGAGGTTCTTTAACTGGGCTTCTCAAGCATTTGCTGATGGTCCATGGAGAGTTGGCTGCTAATGTGGTGCTGGTTCTCTTCCTTGTTTCTGGCTGCTACATTAAAATAAAAGCAGCTTTATTTCCTAAAGTAGCTTTCCCATGCAAGCAAGTGCTGTAGTTACCACAGGGATGTTATTCGATTGCCGATGGGAAAGGAGGTGCACAGGAGACACACCCTATCAAAAAGTGATCAAAACTATGAAATTGTGCAGCTCCTGATCTAGAGAGACTGCAGCCAGTGCTTCCGGGCTGACTATGGATGTAGCCTGGTTACAAAACACAATTAAGGATCAGTCTAGATTACAAATTGGAACCATACTTATAATCAACTGCACTTTAGCTAGTTGCCCGGACATGCTTGTGTCTGTAGTGTAGAGAGGCCCCGATAGCCAGAACCGAAGAAAATTTGTGAGAGTGAATAGGTAAAAAGTAAGACAAGATGGGAGCCCAGAACTGCCCTAGACAGGAGACACAGCTCGCTTGTTGTCACACTGTAGTAATGTCAGGTCATCAGCTCCTCATTTACACCAGCCTGTACCACTGCCAATCCAAGGAATTTGCAAACTCTGCAAATCAGATATTAAAGGGACATTGCTAAGTGTTTAAATAAAACCTAAAGTTTGGGGACTGAACAATGCAAATAGAAACAGCTTGGAATTCCATTGCTAATAACTTCATATTGATTGTTCACTTTGCAGTGTTGGGAACCCAAAAGCAATAGCGTCTGAAGACCAGGAAGTGAAACTGACCATAATGAAAGAGAACATTAGTCTGTGGTCCAGAGTTCAAACTGAGTGAAGTGAGAAGAAATACATGGTGAAAAGCAAGCGCCTGATTTGTAAGGTCCTATCGTGTTGAATAATTGGAGGTGTTTATATAGTCAAATAAAGCGCAGAGTCATTTTAAAATATGTTGCACTAAATTTTTAAAAAGTGATCAGTTGTCCAAATTTATACATAAGAACAGCCATACTGGGTCAGACCAATGGTCCATCTAGCCCAGTATTCTGTCTTCTGACAGTGGACAATGCCAGGTGCCTTTACGCTTTACACGGGCTTGTTTAGACGTTAGATTAGAAAAGTCTGAGAATTTACCCTCTGAAAAGCAGTCTCCTTCAAGGTCTCAAGCTGGGCATCCAAAAGTCACTAATCACTTTTTAAAAAAAAAATAGGTCCTGATATTTATTTTGCCAGTATCACTTTAATCAGCTCCAGAAAGAATTCAAGTGGTTCTTGATGGAATATAAGATGGTCCTGTCTCTGTGCAATGCACATCATGGATGGTTACACCACCTGTGTGGCTCTCAATTTCATTCTCACGTGTATCCCCTGGCTAGGGGGAGCTGTACCTGTTGCTAGGTAGATGGGGTGATTGCTTGCTGGACTCCACACCTGAACAGCTGTTCGCTCAATTTCCTTTAGCTTCATTTTCTGGACTCTAGAAGAGATTTATACCGGGGTTAGCACAGTCTTGCAATGTCAGTATGGAAATTCACCAACCCAGCCACAAAAATCTACTTGCCTACCTGTAAAATGATAAAATAAATCCTGATGGGTGAATAGCATTTATCAGGGCTGAGTTGGGGTGTTTGGGAATTCATTAAAAACTCCAAATTAACCCAGGTTCCAGTATGTAACTCTACTTTGTGGCTTGAGCTCTTCCCATACTCTCATTATAGCGGACCCTCAGTTACAGGAAAGGGGTCTAAATTACATATTTATGTCTTCAGTCTGGGTTTGGTTTCATTTAGCTACAGAAGGGCATTCAAGCTAAGCTACTCACAGGGTTGTAAGCTCACTGAACATACTGATGCCAATACATACACAGAGTGAAAATGAGCAGGGAAAAGTCAAAACTCAAAAGAGATGTGGTAACACAAAACAAGGGAAACTGCTACATTATCTGATTTAGCTAATGCACGTTATTCTCACTCCCATATCATTCAAAGGCCCAAAAGGAAATTCACTTGGAATTCTGCTTCAGTTTGTGAACAGTGAAATAAGTGGTCTAGTGGTTCAAAATCATGAAGTGCTGAGTTCTATTCCCATTCTGACAACGACTCCCTCAGCGACCCCAGGCAATTCACGCAGCGTTTCAGTACAGGAGTTGCTCCTGCTTGCAAAATGGGAAAAGAGCTTCCCTAATTCCTGGGAAATGGGATTAGACACTATTGCAATACGCATAACACAGTAATATTCCAAACTCACCCATAGTCCACTGGCTATTGGAACACAGTTAGGACTGAGCTTTAGGCCTCTAGAATCTGATCTGTGTTACAAGTTTCTATTTAATAGATACGGTAACACTCATTAGCATAGGCCAGACATAGGAAGTATCTGCATTTGATAGTTTGCCCTATCCATACTAGAATTGGAATGGTTATTCCTAGCACAGTTCTCTGACATGGATGCGTTCTCTGATTTCAGGGGGCCATCCCCAAAGGCCAGTCAAAGTGTATTAGACATCACATTTGAAACCGCTTCCAGCCTTAATTTGGCCTACATGTAACCAGGGCCACTGATTAGCTGAAATGTGTGCAGAGGGGGAGTCTGGTAGGCATTCCCAGTGTACCTGGAGCTAGCAAGCGGTAGGTCTGACACCCTTCTTGTCCCTCTCCCCCACCAAAGGCCTTCCCCTCTCATTACAGGGCAGGCCGCTTGATCAGAATGTCTTTAATGCTGTTAGCGTTAATCTGTTGTGGAATCTACTGAAGCTCATGTTACCTGCTGCCATTCTCATGCTAAACTCTCCCTAATTTATCAGAGGCCCAGGGGGATCTGAACAGAGGCTATATAGCACAGATCACATGATCATTTCCCCAGGCATCCTAGGACTCTGGGGTGGAAAGATTCTCCTTCAGCAGCAGCAGGCAAAGCGGCTCATGGAAGACGGAGAGCTATATGTTTGTTCTCATGCCCTGAAGTGCATGCTCTGCTCCCTTCCCTTGTTGGCTTTATCAGACTCTCTGTCAGGCACCTATCTCTGGCACAGCTTCAGAAAACCCCTCATGATCAGCTCCCCATACTAGTCATGGGGAGTGAAACTGACAGATCAGTTTTGCCTACTTCTGGCACATGAGGGAGAGGGAAGTTGCAGGCACTTGCTGGAGGCAGGTAGAGCTGCCAACGCCCCCAGTACACTGAGCACTTGTGGACCACACTGATGTTAGAGATTGGGACAGCAGCTGCGGGCTTCTTTGAAGCTTCCTTACCTGGCTCCCTGCTGGCTCCTGCTTCCTCAGTGCAATCAACACAGGAGCAAACTGTACACATGGGGCTCCCTGTCTCTTGCCTAGTAAAGGAGCAACAGCCCCTTTAGTGACCAAGAAAAACCACCCCAAAGCAGCCAGGAGGCCTCTTCCCTCCAAACTAGATCACTGGAATACGGGGAAGGGAATAGCAATCATCAAGTGAGAGAAGAAAAGGGCTGTGGACCACCATCAGGGAAGCAGCTGGGGTGAGTGGCACTTGGATAACATTTTTCAAGGTCTTCCCTGCCCCGTGTTGATTGCTGTTGCCTGGAATTTAACAGGCAAAAAACAAAGAAAGCCCCTGCTAGGAGGGGCTTACAATCTAAATTAGAGCAATGAAGCGCAAATACACTATAAAAGAATCTATTGTCTTGAGCGTGGCCAGGGTGGACATCACATGTACCCCAGAGTATGTCATGGGAAGGTCTTGCATCCAAGTTCCCTAGAGACTGCACCCAATACCTAGGACAGTCAGTAGTCCCAACCCTGCTGATCTCAGCTACCTCAGCAGGACACCGAAGAGTGCATTGGTTAGCCTGACTCTATATTGGCAATGCTGCTGCAAAGATCATTATCCTAGGTCATTCCTCTCTGTGAATCCTCCAGTGGCTCCCCCTTCTGCAGGGCAGCAAACATAAGCTGCTGACATTCACTTTCAAGGCCCTTCACCGTCAATCCCTACCCTGCCTATCAGCTCTCATTCGCTACCGAGTTGTCGGTGTTCGCCTTCGATCGGTCCCTGATGCTAGTACCCACTGCCCACTTGTTACATTTTCAAAAAACCTTCGTGCTTTCTTTCCCGCTGCCCCCATGCTTGGGAGGTTCGTTGCATAAACAGTCACAAAACCAATGCGTAATCCACCTTCAGATCTCTCCTCAGAACGCTCCTTTGCCATGATGCCTACAAAACACTTGACCCAAGATGCAGGTCAGTGTTCTCACGGTTTACTTGTACTCCCCCATCTGTCTGTATCCACCTGTTAGCTCTTGTGTTATACTTGGATATCAACTCCTCGGGGCAAGGACTGTCCTGTGTTTATATAGATTGCAAAATGAAGTCCACATCTGGACTCCTAGATGCTACGGTAACGTAAGTAATAATAATGGAGAGTGTGTCACTTGGACTAGCCAGATATTAGCAATACTAAGAGAGAGACCCTGGACCGCATTGTTGAAGAGGCTGCCAATTCAGAGCATGGGCATCCCTGGTTCTTAGGCCAGTGGAGTAGTTATGCTACCACATTTGGTGTCAGCAGAACAAAGGAAGGCCCAAATAAAGTGGATTAGAGTGATCCAGCCAAGAGTTTACAATCTCACAGGCCTTCCAGGCACCTTCCATTTACTTTGGCTGAGAGATTGACACAATTCAATTGAACTGGCACTGGGGGCCTTTTGAGAACAATAGTGTCTCACTCCGCAATAGGAGGGGTTTTCAGGACACCAATCTACTGTCTCAGCCTTGAATGCAAAACTGCAGCTCTGAGCCCTACACTGATAGACAAGATCAAGGATAGTCAGTAACCAAGAGCCTTCAGAATTTCATGGTGTTTCTGCACATTGTTTCTCTCTGTCCAGAACAGGATTAATGACCCTCAAAGTAAGGAAACAGTCTTCTAGCAACCTCTTCTGGCTGCTGTAAGAAGAGCCAGAGAGCTGTGAAGTGATTAAATCATCAGGATTCACAGGGAGAGTGCACCATCTGGCGTTCTATCTAGATTCTAGAAGTAACATATCAGATCATTGAGAAAGTTCACGCTTCTCTCAAGAGCTCTTTCATTAGTCATACCAACTCCTACACTATCTGCAGGAGGGGAGCAGTTGACAGATCCCAGGTGGTGCCAAGTCTCAGCCACTAATTGACAGAGTCTCAGCATTCCCAGAAGCCTCTCTTAGCCACGATCTGTTGCCAAGTGTCCTTAAGAAAGGAAACAGTACTCTGGCAATGGGGGAAGCTAGGTCTAGCAGGTCAGACAAGTCCCTTCCACCAGGGACATGAGGGAAGAGAAGGTATTGTATTGAGATACCCAGCTGTCAAAATTAAAACATTCTCTCTCATCTTCTCATACAGACACTACTGAAGGAGGCAGCAATCGGTCATCTACACAGGAAACACAGTTGCCCAGCTACTGTAGTGATCGAGGCATTATAAATAGCTACAATTGATACTGTAGTAACAGCAACAAGAACCCCACAATTGGCCTGATAACAGCATTCCCAATCCCCCTTTAATAAGCTCAACTCCCTCTTTTACAATTCCAACACGGTCAACCTGAAATCCCTTCCTACAGACCTCCCCACCCTACCCAAATCTCAAAACTTCCTCCAGGAATAAACAAAATCTAGCTCTTATATAGTACTTTTTGTCTTTAGATCTCTAAGCGCTTTACTACAGAGGTCAGTACCCTTAGCTCAATGTTACAGAAGGGAAAAGGAGGCACAGAGAGGGAAGCCAATGGCAGAACTGGAAATTAAGCCCAGGTCTCCTGAGTGCTAGTCCAGTGCCACACGCACTAGGTTATACTTAGGGCTTCTGTTTTTCTGGGCTTATTAATTTCATGTTTCAGAATTTATTTTTAGCAATTTTTGACTTCCAGATAGATGTCCAAAAATCACGGTTTTCTGGAGCTCTCCTCTTTGTACATACACATAATACTGTTTCAAACTACACTGCACAGTGCACTAGGGAACCTTTAGTGTGCACCAGTAGGGTCTACACAGACCTATTAATGTGCAATTATTGCACTTCAGAAATCACACCCTTGCAGTCCACATTACAGCTCTGTGTAGACAAGTGCTTAGCTACAAACCAGGGAGCATCACCTGTATAAACAAGCTGCACTGGGAAACTGCATTGGAAATGAATTGAGTAATCATTTCCAGTGCTGACTGGATAAACAGATGTTTTTTTAATCGTGGGTGTTTTATTGGCACTTATCAGTTAAAACCTAAAATCAAAAGCCCTAGCTATACTACATGCTCCTCCATTCAGATTCCCTGATCTCCCTCTCCCCTGATTCTCACTGTCCTAGACTGAGCCTATTCTAATAAATAAAAGTAAACATCAGGCAGTAGGAACCCAGAGGGGAGACACTGGGACGGCTCTAATCCCAGTTGCAAAGCCACTGGCGCTTGCAATGAGGGCTTTTTTGGAAGGCAGGACTCAGTATAACACACTGCAACCTACAAAGGGACTTCTTACCTTTCCTCAAGAATACAGAGCTAATACTGTACACAGAATGGACGGCTCCTGGGACACAGGAAACTGGATCGCAATCTCAGCTCTACCACTCACTTCCCACGTACCCTTACACAATCTCACAAAGAAAAACCGCACTCCTATTCCTCCACCCTTTACCTGTGTCGCCTGGCGACTCTAAGCTCCGTGGTACAGGGACTGTCTCTCACTAATGTGTCCGTACAGCACCGAGCGCGGCTGGGCCTCTGGGTGCTACTGTAATACAGAGAACTACGGAAACTCTCAAGCCGGAGGGGCTCGGAGGGCCGCAGAAATCGCCATCAGCAGACAACTATGCGACGACCCACGCGTGAAACCAGCCCGCAGGTAGGGGCCCAGAGCGCCCACGCCACAGATCTCCAGCCCGTCCGTGGGGCAACAGCACTCAGACCCCCTGGCAATCTCGTGTCTGGCGGGCGAGGCGCAGCCCCTCCGCGTGAGCGCTGCGAGGGGAGTCGGGGGCACGGGACTGGAGCGCTCGGAGCGGGCTCCCTGTCAGTGTCCGCGCCAGGGCCAGGCCCGCGCCTGCGTGGGGGGATCGGCGGGCGGGGGCCGAGCCTGGGTGGGAAGGGCCTGCGCCGGGGTCAGAGCTGGGGGGAGGAGGGGCCGGCGGAGCGGCCCTTACCGGCTCCGGTACCTTCCCTACCGCGACTCCTGACCCAGCCCGGCCGAGACTCCCTGCTCAGACAGCGAGCAGAGCCTGCACTATGGTGGCCGCCAACAGCCCGAAGAGCTCCGCACGCGAAGCGTCTCCTGCCTATCAGTGTATGTGTGACTCCTCCCTTCAGACACACACTAACCCCACCCCGAACAGAGGCATCAAACCCCTCGCCCCCGTATCTACCACGCAGGGCCAAAGTCAAGACCCGCCCACCCTGGAGCATCAACCCCCAAGTCCTACGCTTTCTAATTGTACAAAAGGGAACACCCCTACCCCGCCCCTTCCCTGAGGCCCCGCCCCCACTTGCTCCCTCCCCCACCCCACCCACATGTACATTAACCCACTGCTCCCTGTTGTATTCCACTGGAGCATTCAATTACTGTGCGGAGGGGGACACCCAGAGCTTTAGCCCAATATTGGTATGCCTGTATGTTTCCTTGCACCCCAAACTATCCCTCTATGTGCTTCCTCAAAGACCCCCACTGTATATGACACTTCCAGTGAGATACTAACCCTCCCATCCTTACCGTTCCACCCCATTGGGGCATTAGCTGCCAATGCCTCCTGGATACGAGGCATAAACCCATATCCACTTGCACTGCAGTCACAAGCAGGTAGGGTGACCAGACAGCAAGTGTGAAAAATCGGGACGGGGGTGGGGGGTAATAGGATCCTATATAAGAAAAAGACCCCAAAATCGGGACTGTCCCTATAAAATCAGGACATCTGGTCACCCTACAAGCAGGGTATTATCCCCTTTCACTCATACTACACATATCCTTCTCACTGCCAAAGGAAACCTCGGGCTTAACTTTAACAGAGAATCCAGACCTATTTTATTTGAACTATAATCTCCATAGAGGTTGTACACGCTTCAAGAAGGGATGTTCTTCCTGTTTGTAAAGCACCTAGAACCATGAGGACTCAGATCCCCTCTGGGGTCTGTGAGCACTACTGTCATGTTGTTATTAGGGGCCAGAATGCAACACCTTTGCTCACACTAGCAAAATTAACCCAAATAGTAACATTGATCACAATGGGACTACTCTGGTGATCAGTTACATCTGAGAGCATCTAACAGCACAGAAGAGCTGATATCCCAGCACCATTTAGTCAAGTCAGGCTGGATTCAGGCTTGGCGAGCCCTATCTAAGATCATGGACTTAACTTTTACTGTTATAACTTTTGGGGTTTTTAATTTTGTTTTTCAAATAGCTAGGTAATACTTTAGGTAATGTATGAGGGTGGTTTAGGAGGCACCTTGGAACCTAAGCCCAGAAACTGCTGAGTTTTGTTATTTTCACTGCCCCTTTTCCTGCATTAGAGCAAACAGTTTTTCAGTGTCATTCCACTGTATCCATTACAAAACAGGACATAGCCATGATCCATAGAGCAGGCAAATTTTGTCATTCTGTTCAGTCTTTATCACTGCCTGTAAAAACCTATTTGTATTTTTTCTTAATCTATTAAAATAAAGTGTTTTGTGATATTGCAGCTGGAGTCCATGATCATGTAAAAACTCATCACCCAAGCAGAAGTGTCCCTTGAAAATACTGGGATGAGAAACCTCTCCTGAAAATGCAGCCTGGGAAAAGTGGTTTTGGTGATTCAGTAACAGAGACCGCAGCCTCAGAGCCAGTGCAAAACCATGAGGCGATGGAACACAATGCTTAGAGCTTTGCAGTCTTTTGGCTGAGATGCAAAGCCCAGATCACCTTCACTTACATTCCGTGCAAATCTTGTAACTATAAGAGTAGAGATATTACCCCCTTTTCTGGCAATTTCACTTTTAGTTCCTATAATTTTGCCTCAACAGCTCCTACCATTTTATTTGCCACTTTCTCTCTTAAAATGTTCTGTTGCATCATTAGCACAGACTAGGTGTAATGTTCCACCCAAGACCTGGCTGCATATCAGTATTGAGTGAAGCAATGTATCTTTGGACATACCTCCTCCATTTCTTGCAAACCCAGCACATAAGAATGTCCATACTAGCACAGTGATTCTCAACCTGCGGCCCAGTCAGCACACAGCTGCGGCCCGTGACATCCTCTGGGCCATATAGTTTTGGATGTGGCCCGCCTAACACAATGTAGGCCGCATAAATAGGTTGAGAACCACTGATCCAGCCCAGTATCCTGTCTTCCAACAGTGACAGTTGGAACGGCAGTCACGACTGGAATACAGGTATGGAAGGGTATGT